GGCATCTGGCTGGGTTTGTTGGCTTCTTTCTGGGTGCACTCGTATGTATTTGCAGATGAGGAAACTACAAGAAAGAAAATAACTTGGTGGAAAATGTAGGTTTAAATTGTATTTTAAGCCTGATTGCACCCGGCCCTTGGAACTCCAGGCATGATCCCTTCTAGTAACTAAAATGATTTGAATGTGATGGGGCAAAGTTATATTTAGTTTGTATTTGGAGAAAGAAGAACGAGCAGCCACAGGGGGAGGCAGCTGCGTTCTCGTCACATCCATGGATATCAAACCTCACCCTCCCCCTTAGCCAAAATATTAACAAATGATTCCCTCAAACTATTGGGTTGAGGACAAGGGGGACTGAAGAAAACCTGCCCCTGCTAGGTTTGTGTCAAGGTAGGGCTTAACTTACAGTAGTAGCTCCTGCTGTTCACACAGAAGTGAAGTCAGCTGCCCCTTCTCCAACATGGTGGGGCTCAAAAGCATGTTTCTCAGCAGTGCCCTGTGGCCATAAAGAGCTGCCTTTGCCTAATGGAAAATTGCAAGAGCGGAAGCAAGAGACGGTGGTTGTTTTGTCTCCCCACCATTCCCCCTCCTTTCCTGACTATAAAAACGTGTGAAAATCCGTGTCAGCAGTTTTGTTGGAATATCTACCTGGGGCCTTGCTTCTCACATATCCCATGGCAAAATGCTGCAGAAAGTAATCTCTGTCTCCAGGAGCATGGGAGGTTGTAGATTCTCAGCATTTAAAGGCTGATTTTTTCAAGAATCACTGCCTCATAGCTAAGAAATCAGGGGGAGTGTGGTGTAGGGACACCTTCTCCAGGATTTACAGCAGGGCTACAGAGCCCTGCTCTCTTCTCCTCGGGTCTGAAAGGATCCAGTCTGGAGCTTTGGCCTGTGGGTGCAAGCACATGGCAATATATGGGATTCCCCCCATCGCCAGAAAGATGGCATAAATTGGCATTAAAAAAATTGTGTTGGTAGGTATATGAGCTCCCGGTTGTAACAACCTGGTTTAACTAAATGGCTCAGGTTGGATGTGAGGAAGAAATTCTTTACAATGAGGGTGGTAAAACACTTACACAGGTTGCCCAGGGAGGTGGTGGATGCACCATCCCTGGAGATACTTAAGACCAGGCTGGATGTGGTTCTGGGCAACCTGATCTAGTTGAAGATGTCCCTGCTCCGTGCAGCGGATTGGACTAGATGACTTTTGCAGGTCCCTTCCAACCCAAACTATTCTGTGATTTCAGGTTTCAAAACAATCCCTTGTGGTGTTGCTTCCAGCTCTTGCGGGGTTGCCCTGATGTATAACCCACAAACACGGCAAGAGCAGCACTGCAGCAAACAGCCATAGGGCATCACTCTGAAAGTACATTAGATCGTTTCTGCTCACATGCAGCACAAAGGTAGAGTCTAGGACTGCTGAGTTCATGACATGGGCTGCTTGAGGAGTAATTGCATCTGCTTTTTAATGCTGCATTAGAGCACAGCCAGCAGCCAGCAGCAGCAAAGGCTGGGAAGCCGGCAGCAGCCAGGGTTCAGCCTGTTTGTACCTCGCTGGCAGCTGTAGGTGAAGCGGCAGATGCTTTCCTTGTATTTTGCCTCTCTAAGCAGACGTAGCAATGCATCCATCCTGCAGGGCCATGGGATGTACCTTGGGCTTTGCTGTCAGCTGTGAGCACACACGTGCCCCAGCACCCACCAAGGGACACCCCAAATCACCCATGGGAGAGCTGCAGCTCCTGGGTACTCTGCTCTCAAGGCCATATTATGAGCATATTATGGGGCATTTCTGCAAGGTGAGGACCTCTCTTCAGGACCAGTGGTGTACATGAGAAACTGGGGTGCTCAGCATGTTTTTACTACATCTTTTTGCTCTGTTCATATAACAGAAATTCATCTGCCATAGGAAATTAAACTCCAGGGGAACCTGTGTAATTCTGGGCAGCTTAATGTGTGGATTCAGAGTGGGAATACCATATAGTGTGGGATTTCTGTGGTACGTCGTGTGATGCAGCTCTGTGTCAGCAGCATCTGCTGCACAGGGGATGCTGGAGAAGGGCCTTTTTGCAAAACACATTTCCCCCTCTCCACCTCCTCCCCTCCAAATACTGACAGTGCAGAGCGGGGACATGTGCCAAAGTGTATCTTGACTTGAAGAGCATTCATCTGTCACTGCTGCAGTCCCAAGGCAGGGCTGGGCTGTGCAGATACGTAGTGAAATAAGACCCAGTGGATGCTTGTACATGAGGAAGAGACACAGAGATCCGTGATGGTATCAACATTTTATTCTTGCTGTAGCCATCGTCAGGAGGCCCAACTATCGCTGGCTTGCCAGGGCCTCTGAAGCTCTGATTCCAGAGGGAGAGCGCTGCTTGCGCTGAAAGTTATTAAAGCAAAGATGGTGGGTAATAAAATGGGAATATTTACAGCACCAATGAACAGAAGAAAGGTTTTAGCATCTTAGTCCTAGGGCTGTACCTTATTGAGAATGCATGCAGCTCTATCTGGCAAAATACAGCAGGAAAAAGAGGAGGGGAGGGGGGTTTATTCCTCATCCTGATAAAGTCGTTGGAGGGGCTAATGAAGACCAAGAAGGCCGAGGACCAAGCTGGTGTTTTTCTGTTCAGACAGAAAGGCCCTAAGAAATGCAGCCTTTCCTAAATGTCATAAAGGTCTGTGAATAGATCCTGTGACAGGGCATGATCCAGCAATTCCTCAGAATGAAAGGTCAATCAAAGGAAAATGACATCTGGGAGGACCAAGCTTACTGCTGACCCAAACATGTGACGGATCCAGAGGCAAGTCTGGTGCCACTGGGAGAGCTGCTCCTGCAGCCTCCCCCAGTGAGGCACATGACGTGACTGGGAAACTATCTGATTCCTCCAGGTCTCAGAATTCATCAGGAGTCAACCTGAATGTCGGAAGGAAAAGGATTTTGAAGGAGCTACAGCAGGTTTCCAAGTCAGGAGGAGGGTGCTGTCTCTCCACTGTCCCTGCTTGCCCTGCACCAAACATTTTTCCCTAGCACTAATTATAGATCTGTTTTTGCTATTTGAATATGCATGGAGTAGTATCCTGGCTCACGAGTAGATTGCAATGAAGCTGCTTTTAAAGTCTGATTTGGTTCAGTAGGGCTCTAAGTCAGGAAGGACCCCTCCAAGGGCCAACCTCGAATTTCAACAAGGCTGTGGAATTGTCTGGACATTTCTGTTCCTTTACACTGAGTGGAACACTGCATCATGT